CCCCCACACACACACAATTGTGAACCTTTAATAATTAAAATGCGTAGTACAGCAGATCTGTCCACCAACAATTCAATTTGGAAAATCTCAGCACATATTTACATAAAGTGGAAACAAGCAGGTTTCTGCTGGAGAGCTGTCGCTTACGAAAGCTAAAAATTGAACTTCTTATAAATTCGAAAAAAAAAAAAAAAAAAAAGACGGAATGCACAATTAACAAACATAGCACTGGCGCTACAGTAGCTTTGCAACTTTAACAACATTCTGAGCGAGTTATTATAACAAACTTGAAGGGATCTGTTTTCGTATGATTAGCTCAGAGGGCAGAACAATACATACTTATACAATAAGATCTGAATAGTCTCATTTTTACATTTTCAGAGCAAAAAGAAAACTTTCTACTAAGTGTGTTGCCTCTTACACATAGAGCCCTATACTAGCCCTATACCAGTACAGTAGTTTGTTGATTGTTTATTTATCCCTTCCCGCCAAAAAAATATTTTTTTGGCAGTTACGTCCCCGGTGACATCGTGAGGGCATGGTGAAGGCTGATTACGATTTGGTGGCACATCGATTGAGTATTTTCATTTAACTGGCCTAATAAGGTGAAGTGGGGGCTCGAAGATCAGTTGAGGGGAGCTAATTCGCAAAATAAGTTGATTATAGGAAACAAGAGTAAACTGGGCTTCCATTTCTATTGTAGTAATCAACAACTTGCTTAAAAATAAAAATGCACGTGTCAGTAGAGAGATTCGACTTAAATGCAAATTGAGTATCACTAGAGTAATACCGCAATTCTATCACAAAAATATTTTAAATTTTGCTCACTCAAGAGCTTGTCCAGACCCGAGCCTTTACCAGTAGGAAGCTTATTAATAAAATTAATAATAATCTCAGGGTTAACATGAGAAGAATTATAATCGGAAGTGCTATTTCTATCAATGACTATTTGCTTATTACTTTCAACACAATTTAACAACTTTTCATAGTGTGCGGCCCATAGCTTACAAATTTCCTCATCTCCCTGGACACCGTCGATAACTTGTGAGATTTACCCTCCCCTTCTGCGTGAAGACTTCAGGTATGGAGGACCCATCCGGTATATACATAGTTCACGATTCATTATCCAACACCATTCACTGCAGAGATTGTCAGTGGCGTAACAGGAGGGGTGGGGTGGGGCGCAGAGGGGCAGACTTCCCCCACCCCCTGACGGTTTTTACCGGGCTGACCAAGCCGTCTTACCGGGCTGGGTATTAAGAGGAAAGAAAGAGGGGAGAGAGAGGGAAAGAGAAAGAAGGGGAAAAGAAAAGGAAAGGATAAAGGAAAAGAAAATTAGAAGAGAAAAATAAATACAAAAATAAAAAGGAAGATATCATAATGACCAGACTCACAACACCCTGCAACCCCTTCTCCACTTTAAAAAGTGTCCATAGCTCCTTTGATCTAAGCCGCCAGATATTCTCCGCAGTGGCGTAAGCACCGGGGGGACAAGGGGGGGGGAACATCCGTCTGTGGAAAATCTTACCCCACCCCTTGAAGATGCCCTTTTTACCCCCTGAAAGTGCCTAAAAATCTCAAATTTCGCATTTCGTGTTGAAGTAGGCCAATTTCCGCTAAAAATTACACATTTTAGGGAGTTTTGATCAATTCCGACTAAATTAGAATTAAAAACACAAACAATTTTTGGGCGCTTCGCGCGTATTTTGTATGATATTTTAGGGTTAGCATTATAAGTTATTTAAACACATAATAGTCCCAAACTCAAGAAATAAAATTTAAGATAGATCGTTTTACCTAAAAGAAGGGCCTCAATGTGTAATGATGGTGAAAGAATATGTTTGTAATAAATAAAGCCATAATGAAAATGCTTATATTCAGTTTAAAAAAAAAAAAAAAACGTGTGTGGCCATAATATAACATATGCCCTAAACTCAAATAAAAATTTTGCGCCGCTCGCGCGCATTTTTGAGGGTGAGCAAAATTATTTATATATTAAAAAAATATATGGAAGCAAGTCTATAAAGCGTAATACAAAATGTAATTAATCTTGCTCACGCTGACACGACTTACGCTACAATGTTTATAGTGAATTATTGTTATTTTTAACAAGATTCAAAGCAGAAACATTTCCTCCTTCTATTTCACTAGTAAATTCTGCTATAGCGATATTTTAGAAGTCCGCCCTCTTAAACTTTAGCGCTGTGTTACGCAATTCACAAGACAGCAAAATGTATCTCTACCTTATATGATTATTTCTTACACATCTACTATGGCCACACGAGGAGGGATTGATATTCTGGGTGGTGTTTTTTTTTTTTTTTTTTTTTTTAAATAAATATAGTTTAGAAAAGAAAAAGTCAAAAACGTTGACTCCATGACATAGGTACTGCTGCACGATTTGAGTAAGTGGTACTACAACTCTACCACTCACATGATTTATCACCATGCAGAGAGGGTCGCCAAGTGGTATTATAATCTATTTTAATACGTCTCTTGAAAGTGTTGTGTAAACTTTCTTAACCTGAATATACATACATTATTTAGGCCCACAGTAACATACCCATAGTTATTGATCTAAATAAATGACATGTATACTAGCAGAGGAACCTCGTTTTTGGCCAGCGATTGATACAGAAGGTCTCCATCAAATTAAATACCACTTTTGGGAAGGTCTTTTATTTGCTCTAGCAGCTTTGGCCTCTAATTAGACACAATGGCGTAACAGGCGGGGAAGGGGGGCAGAAAAAATATGAGAAAAAATGGAGGGGAGAGGGAGGGAAAGAAGAGAAAGAAAGTTTGAATCAATTCCGACGAAATTAGAATTAAAAACACAAAAATTGTTTGTGCGATTCGCGCGCAATTTTTATGGGGTTTTTTTTAAAATTTTTTTTTAAGGGTTTATAGCCCAGCAAAGGCTGGGAGACCTGTACAGATACGGATGAGAATGTCCAGCTATTACACTTTCCATAAGTAATGACTGTATCATGTGTCTCAGTGGGAGATGTGAGATCGAGACATCAGATTGGATATCGATTCACATTTGACCGACTCAGGTCATACTATCCTATTTATACTGTATTTCTAATTTTACGAGTTTAGGCTTCCGAATAATTCAGCGGGAGTTTCCGAGTTAATATAAGAAAAACCAGCAGTTGAAGGGGATGCGGATAACGTGCCGTTTCCGGAAAAGAAGTTTCTAACGTATTTACTCATTCCATATATTGGAGGCTTAGAGACCGGTGGTGTTTGCAAGGAGGCGGAGACATTATTGCGGTATTCTATTCATCCACGAGAATTTCCCTCTTTCACACACAAAGAGTAAGAAATAGCAACGATAAGACGTCAACGGTGACGGAAAAGACCGAGGCCTCCTGTGTGTTTGTTGTAAGAGTAGGTTATAATCCACGCATGCGTGATGTTAACTGAAGGCAAGATGGCGGCCGTCTTGACTCCGGTAGAGGAACAGGTACATAATGAGTTGTTTATCATTGTTTGGAGGTTTGTGGAGTGGAACGTGGAAGGCTGATTATATTTCTATTTATATATATATATTTATTAAGTTGTAAATATTTAAATATTGTCGTAAGTTACTGGCGCTAGAGTGGTATGTTCATTGCCCAGTGCCCAGCCAGTGGAGTGCCCATTGCTCAGTCAAAACAAAGTATTTTGCGGCTAAGTAGGCCTAGGCTAGGCCTAGCCTACCTATCTTGCCCTAGCTTCTTTCCCCTAGCCCTAGCCATGACAGCCAACCCCTACATAGGCTGAGGCCTAGACTACAATACGCCTACTAAGTAGAGGCCTGACTAGGCTTAGATTTAGAGCCAAAGCCGTACACATTCCATAGAGGCTTTGGTCTACGTAATGTACTAAGTACTACTATACTGTCTGTATGATCTAGGCCCCTAGGCTAGGCCTATCTATACCCTGAAAGCAAGCCAGTATGTCGAGATGCATTTTTTTTTTTTTTGAGCGAAGTGCATTTTTAATTGGAAGTTGAATCAGGTGTGTTCAATGGACTACAGGTATGCAGCTGATGCCGAATATTAATGTTGTAACCCAAACCTATCGGAGAAGATATTCAATCTCAGCTACATAGGCCTACCTGCAATTCATGAATCGCACCTGATCCGTTTACTTTTTATGTGCAAATACTTAATAGACATTCCTTCATGAAGTGTACACAACACAAAATTATTGTCAAAAGTGTTATTGTATGAACGATAGAGCTTATTCAATAGTAGTCTTTCACAAAATTATTTATTATTACGGTATTACCATTTATTAGTTTTGATCACAGTCATTGGGCGTATATAGAAAGAAAATTTATGCTTTGGGGCATTTATTAAAGGAGGCATTTATTCTATGACATTCTCAAAGGTTCCAATCCTCCTGATTCGATCGGGAGTTTCCCGAATTTACATCCTATCTCTCTCCCGAATTTAAAAAAACTATGCCTGGATTTGTTGTACTTACAGTACAACCACCTCAACCACCTCATTTAACGTACAGCCCTTAAACATTGGATTCCCATTGTCGAATGATGTAAACATGTAACTACTATAAGTGACTCTTTACGGTAGCAAGGTAAGCACAGACCACGTTTATACATAATTCAGGACAATGATGCTGCGAGTTATGTTTCTACTGTACCTCTACCCCTACCATTATGAATCAAACTTTTATTTTCTCATCTTCTTGGAGATAAACAAATAGATTATGATCGAATAGAATCATGATAGTTGGAATCACATTCTCCAGAGTTTTTTTGCACATTTACTTTTCTCTTATTGTTGGACCCCATTGTATAGGCCCATCTTTAACTTGGCGTCTAATACTATACTTATTAATACTGTACCTTACAACCTCCCACAATCTTCAATAGACTAAAATATATTCGTGTTAAATGCGTTGCCAAGAGCCTCTTGTCAGACTTTCTAATTGATGATACTCTGTTGCCTGTTCCTGCTGTCCGTAGAACTGAGAAAATTGTTTTTAGACGGCCCGTACAAATGCTTTTTTAAACTCTGTTTTTATTCTGTTTTTATCTCATTCCCAAGGATGTGGGATGAGATCCCTACTTCTGTTACTGATATTTTCTTTTTGGTGATTGTGAATTTTCTCTGCTTTTTTTTTGCTTTTTATGTTTACCGAGCCCTGTTTGTTTCTGTTTATTAGTACCAGTTGGAGAGTCTTTGCACAGTTAACTTTATTGCTTTTTGACAACTTGCCAGGATAGTGCTAGGTTTTGTGATGTTTTTGTAACGATCTGGAAAATAAGTAATAAAATACTAATAAATAAATGAAATTGAAATAAGATAAGATAGCATAAACTTTATTGTTCTGACCACCAAACAAAGCAAACATGAAATTTGGTTTCGTTGATGCTTAAAACAATACATAAATAATACAGTGTGAAATAAATAAAAAAGAATTAGTTGCACTTAAAAAAAATAATAATATACATGAAAGACATCTCTGAAAAGTTGAGTTGTAAACATGAGTTGAATTTTGAACAAAAGATTTCCTGCATCGTGTATTTCAATCTTGTATTTCAATGGATGGGTCTACCTGACATAATCATTGTTCAATGAGTGTGAAATTTCTTCCATAATTTTCTTAAATTGGTTAATCACATCACGTTTATGAATCTCGTCTATAACACTTACGTTTTTACCTATTATTTTACTTGCAATTATTTTATCAAGTTTCTTATTATTATTTACACTGAGACTACTAAACCAGACAACACAATTGAAAGATAAAACACTCAAGTTAACACTCTGATAAAAATGGAAAAGCACATCATTGTTATGTTGAAGGAATTCAGTTTCTAAAGATGTGCAGATGTTAGTTTAAATGGATAAAGTTAATATTAAGTTTGATTTTTGTGGATTTCATATGGAAGCAAACAAATTCTTATTTCCTTAATTTTGCAAAACCAGCAAAATTTGTTGTGGATGTTGATTGTAGGAATTTTATTTTGATTTCTAGTTGTTTTGATTGACAAGAATGATTAAAATTTATTACCTAAAAGGGTATAGTCTACATTCTGCTTTTAAAATGTGATGTGAACATCTAACAACTGATTTATTAGTTAATAAAATCATGATGTACTTACATTTTGGATAACATTTTTTACCCAGAATGAAGAATCCTTAAAGGATACCCAACATATAGTGTTAGGCTCTTTGCCCCTTTGGTAATTTTGTTTGTGCCGAATATATATATTTTATAATATTAGAATACACCATAGCTAAATCATATTACAGTATTATATTATTAAATAACAATCAAACATCTGGGCTCACACTAACCGCTCGCCAAATCGCCATGGGCGAAAACTATTTTGGATTGGCGAAAAAATCAACTGCTTTAGCCATTTTGGCGAAAGCCTAAAATCATATAGGCGAGTTGATTGGCCGAGCGGTTAAGTCAGGGGCACCGTAACCTTCAGCTCTAATATCGGCGCTGGTTCGAACGGCTCACTCGCCAGTGGTTCCGGTGGTGGAACAAGTCTTCTCGGATAAGGACTTTAAACCGTAGGCCCAGTGTACGCGTTTGGCTCGTGTGCACTTTAAAGAACCCGGTACATCATTCGAGAAGAGTAGGGGGTTACCCCGGTGTACTGGTCTATTAAGTCCCCTGTTGTTAAATGGACATGCCACGTAGGACAGTGATTAAATTCACTTATTGGCATATCCTTGGCCCTCGTGCCTAATGAAATGAAATAAAAAGTTTTAAATATTTGCTAAAATACATCATTTTTTCTTCATTTGAGCTCCATTTTTTGCTAACTCCATGCGACGCTTATTTGTGTTGTTGTATGAGTAGTCTTGCTGCAAATGTCATTGCATGCCTCGCAAGTTATTTTTTATTTGTAATTGTTATTTTAACACGGTAAATGCAGGGCAGCGGCTGTACGACGTAGACTAACATGAAGGCACCACCACAAAAACATGAGGGCCGATGCGATATGATAGTGATCGAAAGAGTATATATCCTAGTATCGTTAATAATAATTCAATCAGTGATTTCGTGTTATCGTCAAATATGTAAAATGCATTTAAATAATTTGTGAAATAATTTATTAATGCACCGCGTGGGTCACTTTGTTACACGGTGTACATACTTGTGTTGTAGAGAGAGTAATTTCGCAATCAAGGCCAGCCTAGCCTAGGGCCTAGATCGTGTACGCTATTTATTTTATCGTGGTGACAATTTTGTAACATACGATCAGGCCAAACTGGTGTGGACGATTGTGCCCCAAGCCAATTTTAAATATACTGTAGTCCAGTAAAACTCCCCATCCCTGATATCGTTCAAAACTAAAAAGAAAATACTGTGGCCTAGGCCTACATAATTTTTTCAACTTTTGTGATAGGCCTACATGTTCAGCCAACTTTCAAATTACAGGTACCTCATTTATTGGTGTGCTAAAAATATCAATTTGCCTATCAAATAATAACGTTATCTCTCCCACCTCCCTGAACCTATCCAAGATTTTTCTGGTACCCTCATCGAGGCAGGTGTGGATTTAGGGGAAACCACCCCCTCCCCCTTTTTTTTGGAAAGTAAAAAAAAGAAATAGGTAATTGATTCTCCCAAAAATGTGTCTGAGGTTTGTTTTTGGGAGAGAAAAAATACTGTAGGACCCCCCTCCCACCAGAGTAGTGTTGTCTAGATCGCCACCCCCAACCCCTGTTGTACAGCACTGGATCCGCCCCGGCAGGACTCTACTCGACCCCTTGGTTCAGACTCCACTGTCGAACATGTTGGACACCATGTCCTGTCAGCAAGTTTTGGCTAATGATTTTTAACAATTTTTGTCAAATTTTGGCTTAAAAAAAAATGTTGACTTTAGCCAATTGGCTAAACAAAAAAATATGTTAGAGTAACCCCAGAACATGGTATTTTTTACCAATGCAGTATTTAAATTTATATGAATTAAATGTAGTAATAACATTTACTGTAATAATGCCAGCCAATACAAAATATTTAGGGAAAATATTATCTTTTATTGATAGTGTTTTTATGTTCAGTGCTTTTTCTTAAAGTGATCATCACTGTAAATTTCATTCTACTGTAAATCATTCATCTCCCACAATTTGTACTCCTGGTTAAAGACAGGCAAATGAGGTAAAGCGTCATGCCCAAGGACACTTGCAATGTGACAATCGTCTGGCTTGAACCCACAACCTCTCGATTGAAAGCCCAATGCTGTACACACTGTGTCACATTCTAATAATACGATATATTTATTTATAAAGGTAAATGGTGTATGGAATTTTTCCCAGAAAGGTTGAATCACCTACAGTTGAAACTGTCTGATAAAATATATTACAGGTCCCATTCCAATTAAAGACCACTTTACTGGTTTCCATGGTGTTTAGCAGCTTTTGAAATATTAAAGTTAAAAGACATTTGTAAATATGGGACCGCAAAAGTGGTTTTAATTGGAGGTGGTCTTTAATTAGAGGGAGAACTCTGGAAGTGGAATATTTAATATCATTATCTTACTCAGTGTATTTAAGTATTTAAGTTATTATTTTATTTTTATCTTTCAATTGAAAATTAGAACTAGAAAAAAAAATCCTCATAAATTACTTAATGTATAATGTATATTTTACATATCCTTTAATCAGGTAAAATGTACTCTTGTAAACAGTCCTATAGAATGAATGGAGAATTGATTTACAGTAAGCCAGACAGTATGTAGCCTCTTTACCAGATGGTACTCGATATCCCATAGATCGTTTAAAACAGAACAATGACTTTGAAGCGAAAGTTTTTCTAATACCTTGAATACAGCATAAGTAATGCCAGAGATGGCTGTAATTCCCTTCCTTTCTGATTTCCTTCCTCTATTTGCCTATTAAAATTAACCGAAAAGGAAGCAATGTTTATATTATAAGCATGAGAATTACATATGCCATATGCAGGTATTTGCCCATATTCGTGAATAAGCCCTCCCTGCGACTTTTGAGTCATTTTCATGCGAAAACGCTCTACTTGGCTGATACGCCCACACTCTTCTAATGGTTTGAATCAGAAATTCTAGACATTGTGAACCTTGGATAATAATTCAAAAGGAATAATGAAACAAATTTTTAATTGGTTTTGTTAGAATTTAGAAATATATAGCAACCCAAGATTTCAATCAAAAAAATTAGAAATTAAAAAATGTTGAATTGCATATATTTAAAGGAACTGTGTAGGTATTATTAATGATTTAGAGACATCTTATCAGTACAGTTACTACAATACTGCAGTAGCCACCACGGCTTAAAATATAACCAATTAATATGTCTGTAATATTATACAAACAATTTGTCTCTGGCTCATCTTTTGTTAAATTTTTTATGCTTCAGTTAATTACTATTTAATATTCTATTTAGGTCTACAGTAATATAAAACTTTTGTTATACAACCTATTATTATACAATTTTCTACTATATAAGTAATATGTATTTTTGTGGCACAATAATTAAATTTCCTCCAGTTTATAGTTTGGTACTACCATACTATCACTGGAATTTTCAAGTGTAGGTGTAGTGTTGAAATACCTGTGTGGAACTCAGGTGATATGTTGAAGTACAAAACCACAATTTATTGTAAATCACTTTTCTGATGTGCTGGACTCAAACCACAAAGTTACTACAGAAGTATTTCCTCTTTTCTTAAAAGAATTCTATATAATTCACTTTCAAGTGGGTCTACTGTATGCTAATTTAGTGTTACAGAAGAAGATAAATTATATTTGGTTCATAAATACTATATTTGATACTTTACAATAAATCTTCTTTGCAATTGAAGACAAAATTTGAACATTCAGAAAGTTTCGGTCATTAAAATCGCAACCGAAGAATAAAATCAAGTGAAATTTTATACTCCATAAAACTCCAACATAATTATGCTTTGCTCGACTCTCTCTTCCTTTTAATCTGGCAAATAATGACGACATATGATCAACATTTTTTATGGAACATGTACAGTATACCTTTTTAATTTAAAGTTTCCAATTATAAAATATAATTATTATATTGAAGAATGTATAGTATCTTTGACAATCCATAATGAAATAACATTATGTTATATATAGTTATGGTGGCTAGAAATTAATATGATCCTCAAGTTTTTTTAGATTTTCACAGACAGAATACAGTATTTTTCATTTCAGCATTATCTTTTGCCAAACAAATTTAAAAATATTGTGAGATTTGACGTTTTCCCCTGATTTGTACATTAGGATTTTCCATTTAGATTTGATCCATTAGTTCCTCTTATTAAATGACCCTTCTGTGTGAAGCACCTGATGATACCTCTATGGGTAATTATTGATAAAGGATGCAAATTTAGAAGGATATTCTGATGGAGTGATAAAAATGATATCACAAAGGGCCAAGGAATAAATATACACCAGGAAAATTCTCCGTACACAATTAGTTGACATCCTTGTTAACACTGTGATACTTGAGAAGATAAATAAACCACATCCTGGAGACTATCATGATCTTGGTGTTTATGACGCACACTACATAGACAGTAAAGAACCTAACTGAACAAATTCCATAGATATAAAGAAATCATTTATAATAAATAAACCATAACTTCGTAAAATTGAATTGAATGAGGAAGTGATAATATTTTTTTTAAATAATTATAATAACATTTTTAAATATACTATATGTGCCTTCAATAGTTGAGTTGTAGGGGTCTAATTATTATTGTTGTCTTCATTGTCCCTTGTCATTTTTTATTTATTTATTATTTATTAAAAATTCAAAATTATTTGAAAATTCGTTGTTGTTATTATTGAATTTAGCTGTAGTTGACAACAGATGTTTGTGGAAATGATGAGATGATTTTGAAGAGGATGGCATGATCCTGTGAAGATGAGATGATCATGAAGGTGATGAGATATCAAGATGATGATGAGAAGAGACAAAAAATATACATAATATGATGATCATGAAGATGAGATAATGAGGATGATAAAGTTGATTCAAATGTTTATAACAAGAATGCTGATGATGGCATTTGAAAGATTATACCATTTATTAAATAGTTCTTTTTTTTTTCTAGGCCACAAAAATATTTCTTGATCATTTAAACCGGGCACGAGAAAATTATGGTGCTGCTCCTGTTTCTTGGAATATAGCTGTACGCTTTCTGATGGCACGAAAATTTGACATCAAGAGAGCCTTGGAACTCTTTAAAAACCATATGGTAAGCATGAAAACGATATACATGTGAAATTGCTGAATATTTTTTAGTCCCAAACTTAAATGTTAATTATAATTTAACCCTGTTGCTCCTCAATCAAAATTTGGTTTGTATTTTTTTTAAGGGAATCTGTAAATCAGATTTTACCTGAAACGTTTTAATTATAATATTTATGAATTTTCTCTGAATTGCACTCTGATTATAAAATATATTAATATTCAATATATAATATGGTTTATCAATTATGGTTACTATATATAAACTTTAAGTATGTTGAAATAATTTGCAAGAAAAGCATGAACTGAATTTGAACTTAATTCCATATGAAAATAAAATTAACATTTTTAATGTATGATTATAAGAAAAACAAAATTCCATATGAAATATTGTATACAGTATGGGTACCCATTGTTCAATGGACTTGAATTTATGATGGATTTTCATTCAAAATTTACATGAATTTCTAAATTGAAATTGGTTAATATTTTACTTGTAAAGGGAATGGATAACCTGTGCCCTACTTCAAGATTGCATCACATTTATAATGTCATTAACATTTGAACATTTTCCTGAATGATTTATACATTTTTAAAAATATTCTGTCTGTTGAGCTAAAAACATTTAAAAAAAAATCTGAATTGATTAACTTTGTATTTTGGAATATTATCTTGTAATGTTTTCTCATTGAGTATTGGGCACAAATAATACCTTTCAGGTGTGCATACGTTGGCTGGTTATAAATGAGAACTGTATTTTTGTTTATAAGTCTATAATTTGTTATTTTCAGGCACTGAGACACAAGGAATGTCTAACACAAATAGTTCCAACAGAAGAACAACTTAGTAAAGAATTACATAGTGGCAAATTTACTATTTTGGTAAGTTGCTTCTAATTCTCATACCACTAATTTTGTCGTTTGATAATTCTTTGTCATAAAATCAAATAATGAACTCTTTCTATGTAAAGGGATTCCATTTTTTCAAGAGAATACAAAAAGTTCTTTTTTTGACCTCCCTCCCTATTCCTTATAAAAGAGTGTATTGATAACGTCTTGATTTTGAGATCACTATTTTGTCGTAAAAGAATACGCATTGACCCTTCCCTCATCGCGTATTGTATTCTTGTGAAAATGGTAAAGTAATGGATGACACCTGATTTACTTAGTGTCTATTTTGCCTTGTATATGATTGTTCATATTATAAACAATTTTTTATGCATACAGTGTTTCATCAAATATTTATGTTGATGTTTCAGTCCCTACTAAAATTTTATTGTTTATATGTTTCAGTCTCATACATAATTGCAATCCTTAAATAGAATAGAAACCCAAAGAGCTTCATAGAAAAGCTTGCATTTAGATGTCAGAATGCAAATTAGAGTACAGTAGTTGAGCTGTGTATTAGCGAGTAACGATCTGTGTTTTGGGAAATCCGTTGCCATTCTCCCTGATAAGTTCAATCGTCGGCCATGTCTAATGAAACTTGAGTCTGAAGATCTTTAAAATCTTGTCAATTTGGCATTATAACAAGTAAAAAAAAAGTATTTAATGTATATTTTAGTAAATGACTCAGCAAAAAATAAATAATTTCTGGTTAGATGATAAGCTAACTTTCATTATATGAGGTCAGAGAAAGGTCATTTAGTATGTAACCATGGTAACATGCTAATATATGTTATTGGCACTTTGAATTAAAGAATGTAGCACGCAGTAAATTGGATTATTCGTATTCAGATTAAAGAACAGGGAAAATGCTCTATTACTGGCCGATCTATTTTTAACATAATTCCATTAAGGCATGCAAATGATAAAATAGTTTAAATCACAATTATACTACCAGTTGTATATGCAAATTACTAAATTTGACCATTGACTTGTTAAAATTGTGGAAAACACTGATAGAAAATTGTAACATGTTAACATGAATAAAATGATAAACTTTAAGATTGAGTGCGCGAATCATTGATGGAGCATACCTTATCATTAGAACACTGCTCATGAATGTTATCATTTTAACCGGTGCGACTGACAGCGGGTGCAAAGGTCAAGTGGAGATGCTCGATGATTGAGTGAGGGGGCATTAGCTTTCAAAATAATGTGATAAGAAGTGATTTTTTTAAATATTTACTTAATTCAAATGGAGTGCCTGAGGTGAGTAAGCCTTTTTTAGGAGGGGTGTTCTCCCCATGCCCTCACATAGATCATACTCCACTGAACATAATGGTTTGTAATTGCCGATTTCCATTATGAAATTTGTGAGCTGTATTGTATGCTCATCGTGAAATGTAATAAAGTTCAGAAGAGGTTACTGAGAAAATTTAAGGTCATAAGGTCAGTGCTGGTCAATGACCCTGCCTATGGGTGAGGATCTTGAAGAATTATTGATCTTCTTTATGCTAATCTTGGACATGTCTTTCTACACACTTAGCTTGGTTACAGTCTATTTTGGAGGCTGCTGATGTCAAAGAATGATCACATTGTAACTACTGTAGAAATCACATCTGTCACATTTAATGAACAAAATATTTTCCTTGCTAATTAAGACATAAAACAATATTATTTCTATACTTTGCAAAGTACAGTTAAATCACATAGATCATACTCAACTGAACATAATGGTTTGTAATTGCCGATTTCCATTATAAAATTTGTGAGCTGTATTGTATGCTCATCGTGAAATGTAATAAAGTTCAGAAGAGGTTACTGAGAAAATTTAAGGTCAGTGCTGGTCAATGACCCTGCCTATGGGTGAGGATCTTGAAGAATTATTGATCTTCTTTATGCTAATCTTGGACATGTCTTTCTACACACTTAGCTTGGTTACAGTCTATTTTGGAGGCTGCTGATGTCAAAGAATGATCACATTGTAACTACTTTAGGAATCACATCTGTCACATTTAATGAACAAAATATTTTCCTTGCTAATTAAGACATAAACAATACTATTTCTATACTTTGCAAAGTACAGTTAAATCACATAGATCATACTCCACTGAACATAATGGTTTGTAATTGCCGATTTCCATTATGAAATTTGTGAGCTGTATTGTATGCTCATCGTGAAATGTAATAAAGTTCAGAAGAGGTTACTGAGAAAATTAGTATGAATTTAAGGTCACAAGGTCAGTGCTGGTCAATGACCCTGCCTATGGGTGAGGATCTTGAAGAATTATTGATCTTCTTTATGCTAATCTTGGACATGTCTTTCTACAAACTTAGCTTGGTTACAGTCTATTTTGGAGGCTGCTGATGTCAAAGAATGATCACATTGTAACTACTGTAGGAATCACATCTGTCACATTTAATGGACAAAATATTTTTCTTGCTAATTAAGACATAAACAATACTGTTTCGATACTTTGGAAAGTACAGTTAAATAAACCTTAAATTAGCTTGTTAAATGAATGGATTGTGGTTGAGGAAATTAAATTGTATAAATCCATGTATCGTGGAAGTTTATAATTTAGATTTTATTTCTTTTTGAGCAATTCAATATTTTTAATTGCATTTTTAAGTGTTATCCATAGGTGACGGAACTAGGGGGTGCTGCTTTATGGAGAGTAATGTGTGACCGGAAATGGTCTGCAGTAAGTTGGTTGTAATAACATGCGCCATTGATGTTGGAGTACAGCAAGATGAAACTATTTATGTAATACATGAATAAAGTTTGGGGTTTGCTGGGTAGTGAAATGATTAATTGTACATTTTAAGTGCTCCCTCCATGCATAAGTGTAAGCTAAATTATGGTGATTAATTAGCGAACATATGGAGACAATTACAGGCCTCGAATTTTACCGCGGCCATTGCCGACGGTGCCCTCCCAGTTGGCCTTGGTGCCCCTGAAAATGAAGCACGACGACGGCCACTACTTGCCTGCCCTTTTGAAGCCTTGGCCTCGGTGCCCTCACGATGCTTAATATAGATTGTTTGACACGTAAAATAAATCTAAGTAAGAACGTTCAAATCTTAAAAGAAAACATGAAAGCCTAAAACGTAGGTTGCCTAAGCTAGCTTAGGCCAGGTTGCAGTGACAGAACAGAACATTGAGAGATTTTCCATGTGTGTTGTTTTTGCGGTTACCGTTGTGTGCGCATGCGTCTTACTGTAGCGGTTATTGCAAAACATGGGCTCATTCGACTGGGTCATTTTGTTGGAATGAATTTTCGTTGAGTATTATTTTCATTCGACTGGTTCGTTAAATGGACTTTGCTGACAACGAAAATTAATGTAAACCAGCGTTAATTTATCCACGTGAGCCAATTGGTGATTTTTTATTAACATTTGCGTTAATATAACTTAGATTAAATTTCATAAAATAAACATCATAATATTTACCCACATGGAGTCCACAAATAATTGTAGGCAAACAGAATAGAAAAACTGGATGAAAATATTTTTTTAAC